GGCTCGGAGCCTGGAGCCTGCTTCCGATTCTGTGTCTCCCTCTCTCTGCTCCTCTCCTGCTCACACCCTGTCTCTGTCTCAAAAATAAATATTTTAAAAAATTTTAATAAATGGAGTAACTGAGGCTCAGAGAGGTTCTGACTCACCAAGTCAAGTGTGTGGCGAGTGGGAAGTCGGGATTTGAACCCAGGTATGCCTTGTTAAAAAGCCGTGGGGCTGGGTGAAAGGGAGACTTTGACTTTTTCGAAGGCCATGTAGTCAGAGATTATGTTTTTGCATTCAGCTAACAGCCTCCTTCATAGAAGGAGTTTCTCCGTAGATTGCTGGCATGGAGGTCTCAGCACAGGTGGCTGTAGCAGTAACAGTAACACTGATGTAGCAGCTGATACTTATTGAGCATTTCTTGTGTGTCCGTCCCCATCCTGAATGCTTTATATGTAATAGCTTGCTTGGTTCTTAGCCCATGCAACACCGAGAGGGGGTCCTGTTTCATCCACTTTATAGATGAGCACACTGACACAGCGGTTAAATAAATTACCCAGTGATCCCTAATAAGTGGCAGAAGCAAGATTCAAATCCAGACAGGCAGTCTGGTTCCAGAATCCAAGCTCTTAATTTTATTATATTACGTATTTTTCTGGACAGTTACTATTTTATGTTTCTTCTCAGGAATCCTCTGTGGTACCAAGTACTTTTATTTGCTGTCTCCTCTCTCTGGTTTACCATCCTCGAATTGCTGATGCCCTTTAGCAGATACTTAAATTTGTTTGTTTGACGTTGGGGTCACGAGAAACCCATACGGGTTCCAGTTTGCTGATGGTATAGGGGTGTAATTTATGCTTCCCCTAACTCCCCTGTTTCTTCAGATTTCTGCCACAAGATGGCCCCTAAGACTTGGGGATACCAGAGCTCAAATCCAGTGCTGGCTTCTCTTCTTTCTCCCCTCCCTGCATTCCTTGTCCCTCAAAACACGGCTTCTTATTCCTGCTCTTACTCCCCACCCCCTTTTAAGAATATTTTGTCAAACATTCTTATTCCAGCAGAATCAGAGAGAAACCTAGAGAGTGCTGGCTCTGTCATGCTGGTCCATTTATCAGCCTTTAACTGCTGATGTCATCTGCTCCCAGAGGGCTCTGTGTGGTCTGTGCCCCAGACCGGTCCTTGCCAGGGCCACCTGCTGACCTGACCACATCACAGGTATTTGATTCATTAAAATCTCTGGCTGGATGGCACGGTCGATTGTGGATCCATCACTGACCATTCTTTTTACCTGCTTCCTGTTCCGTCTGCACATCCCCAAGGAAATCTTCAAGGAATGCCATCACTCTGATTTTGTTGATTTCGCTTAGCCTGACTCTCATTGATCACAGAGTGTGACCCCCATGGGGCATTTAGGCAAGACTTTAAGCCAGCTCAACATATTCGATTCTTTGCTCTTAATCCATTCTTTTCTCTTTTAATTTCGAAGCATCGCTTTGCTTCCTTCTGATTTTCTTTAGCACCAAAAACACCCTCCAATTACACATCCCTAAATACGGAAGCAATAAGGGAAATGTCAGCACTCATTTTCCAAACGTTTACGACCCTCTCCTGGTCTGGCTATTAAATATTGCACATTCAGATTGAC